AATTAATAAAAACATAACTACTAAAATTACAATTATATTTCAATAAAATAATACAATCACTTATTATTAAAAATATCAATCATTTAACTCTTGAAATTATTATAATAAACAAAGAACATATTAAATTCACACAATTAAACAAATTTCATTATTAATAATATTAAATATGATTATATTTAATTATTGTATTGTATTTAATACAAATAATATAAAATATTTATGAAATAGAAATGTTCAATTTGAATAATAAAAGATATTTGTCATTATATCATTTTGATTATTCATTTTAATTAAATATTCTTACTATTGATTTAACTGAATAATGGTGTGTTAACAATTATTATGATTATTATTTGAAATACAAATGTTTTGAAGAATCAAATAACAATAATTTCATTTGTTTTTTGTCGTTTTTATTTTTGTTGTTTTATTTATTTTTGTGTTTATTGGTTTGTTGTTATTTATTTATTGTGTTATTAATAAACCATTTTAAAATTATTTATTTTTAATTTATTTAAATTATTTTAAACATCTCTTTACCCCCTTTTCATAAAAATATGAAGTTATGAGAAGATGATATGATGAAATAGAATAAGTATGTTAATCATTATAAAACCATAATAAAATGATAGTTAATGAGAATGAAAGAATATGTTTTCTATCATCAAATTAATTATCGATAATTATTCTCATTTAAATATGTTTCAATTAAATTAAATATGAACAAACCATATTCACTTTATTTTCTTAAACAATCATTTAATGTTAATATTTTAACAATCAAATTTTTCTAATTGAAATTTAAGAAATATTTGATTTCATTGAATGATAATAAGAAAGAAATAATAATCCTTTTCATCATTAATTCATACAAATAAATTAAAATAAATTATATAAAATTATTATATTCTAAAAATAAAAGACTAACAAAAAACAAAGAAAAGTGTAAAATAACTCAAATAAACAAACACAATGTGGTTTTGTTTATTACTTCTATTTATTTTATTTTGTAATGGTGAATATTGTCAAAAAGTTGAAGGGAACGATTTTATAATCTATGTAAATGCTAGTTGTACTGATTCTACTTTAACTTCAAATAAATTAACAGGAGATTATACTAATTATTCATCAGTTATTTTTTCAGTTAATAATTATAGAGTATTTTCTTTTGGTTCAAGAGATAATACATTTAAAGCAAATAAAGTTATTGTAAGATTAGAAGAAGGAAATAGCAATAATTATTATCTATACTTTAGAAGTATTGAAACAAATTTTGAACTTGAATTAACCAAAAATTCTTATTCATTTGAAAAAGTTTATTTTGATTTCTATAATGGAAATAGTCCAACAAGAATAACTGGAGATGTTGGTGAGTTGTGGGTTGGTGGAAATGATTTTTATGATTATAATTACCATTTACCTATTCAACGTACTTATATTAATTCAAATCCTATTAATTTAAAATTTAGTTCTAATAATGGTATATGGTATTTAATATCATCATATGAAGGATCAATCAATAAAATAACAACAAAATTTTCAAATGATAAATACTTCAATCAAACATGTGG